GACAACCAGCAGGTGGTGGCCAAGTTCGGGGCGATTCTGAGGGGCGGGGACGACCCAGAGGAGCCCCACGAGGGCGACAGGGTGCGGATAGACCGCGTCGCCCAGGCCAGGGGCGCCGACTTTTTTCGTGTCGATGCGGCCAACAACCTTCGCGACGATGGCATCAATGCGGGGCGGATCAACGCCGTTGTGAATTGTTCAACCGGGAGGTCAACGGGTTCATTACTGCGGCCGTCGCCAAACAGGAGTTCCCTCGTGCGGTCGTAGATGCTGCCAAGCACCGCTTCAAACTGGCCTTGGTCCTGCGCTTGATCACGGTCAGCATGTACGACCTCCGACACAGTACCCTGCCGCTGTCATGCTGGCGCGCAGGGCACACGCAGGCAGCCGGCCGTGCACGGCCGTTCGTAACCGCTGCCAGGAGTTTGACCATGCACTCTCGCGAAGCCGACCCTTCGCGGACGAGAACCCACTGGGGCTGGGTGGGCTCGTGGCCCCACACGACGCCGACTGCCTCGACGACGCGGCACGCGGATGGCCAGAGCGTCGCTGTGGAGACCGAAAGGTGCCGATGCCGCCGGTGCCGATGCCGGGTGCGTTCGGGCTATGATTTTTCGAGGCCAATCCAGCGGTGGCGACAATCGGGTCCGGCGAAAGGGGGGGATAGCAAAGGGGGGGTTTGAGAATCAGCTCGCGTAGCTGATTTTCCCGGCGCCGGAGGCGGCTATGTATCGAGGAATGGGCCCCTCGGTGAGGCCGAAACCAGCTGCATGCAGCAAATTTCGTAACCCCCCCTTTCCCAATCCCCCCCTTTCGCCCGACCCGAGACAAGGGCCTCCCAGGAGGCCGGAACGGATTGGAAAACGGCCGAAGGGTAGCGGTGTGGGTGCCTTCTAACTCCTCTGAGGCACGGACCTCAGCGTCTTCGGCTCTGGAGTGGGCGGGCAGGTGGACGGCGACGACCGACGACGGCGACGACGAAGGCACCCCAACATACTCGAGCCCTGCCTCATCAGCCCGCTGCGCAGACCAGTGGGCCGGCCGCGGCAGCCACCCCTGACGCCACCAGATGGGCTCGGGTCGGGCCTGTCCTCCCACTGGCGGGTTCTGGAGGAGCAGTAAAACATAGCCAAAACAGGTTCAGGCACAGTCAGCAAAGAGCACGGGACATCGTCCCCAGAGATTTGTTGAGCCGCTCCTGAAGATTCCTCCTGTGGAGGGGCATGCCCGACGCAGCCCTGGCGCCACCCGAGTGGCACACGGTGAGGCCCTCCCTCTCCGCGACGGCTGCGGCGACGGCCCCTCGGGGCGAGGGCCCCCCCCATCCCCGCAGGTGCTCGGGGCCCCCTGCCCTCTCGGTGCCGAGAACAACGCCGCCTCGTCAGGTGTCGCACGCAGGGACGGGCACTCCTGTGGCCCTCGGACAACGCTGATGGGCTGGTTGTCTACCGCCACCACCATAAGTAGGAGGGGGGGAGGGTCCTCCTCCTCCTTCTCTTCCTCCTCCTCCTCCTCCTCCTCCTCCTCCTCCTCCTCCTCCTCTTCCTCCTCTCGTCGTCCTCCTCCTCATCCTCCACCTCCTTCCCCCCTCCAACTTATGTTGGTGGTGGTGGAAAACAAGCCGGTGGTGGTGGAAAACAGGCCCATCAAACGCACCCCTGTCCCGCTCACCCACTCTCCGCTGCCCCGCTCCACCCGTATGATAAGGACGCGCGGCAAGGATGCGGGGGCCTTGGAGGGCCATTGTTAGCGTTCTTCGAACGAGGCTGGCCAGCGAAAGTTGCTCAGGATGGGCCGACGGAGCAAGGATCCAAGCGTACTCCAGATTTCGTAATAAAGGGAGGGGGGTCTCATTTCGGGGGGGGTCTCTTCCAGGCTATCTTGGAGGGCCTGGGGGGGTCTGGGGACGATGTTTTGGAGGGTCCTCCCACGGGGGGGTCTGAAATGGTGGAGGGTCCTGACCCCCTCCCTTTTCTTACGAAATCTGGAGTAACCTTGGAAAGTCGCTCATCCGTACTATGCGGGTCAACTGCAGCGGCGGATGCGCTCCACCACTAACACTCCCCCCGTTGACGACTGAATCGGCTTGAATGCACTTGAACAGGTCAACCCTTCAGAACCAAAAATGAACAGAGACTGTGGCTGGTGGCGCTCCCAGGCCGAAAACCCGTGCCGCGACGGCCCGCATCGCGAGCGCCGCTTCCCGACCCCTCGGCCAAGCCAGAGCAGCGTCGAGCACTCCCGCTTCGCTAAGTGCCATCGGCAGCGCTCGGGCCCCCAGGCCAGTTCAAAAACCCACTGCCGCTCTGCAAGCACACATCCGCGGCCTCCACGACGCCGCCGCGCGCCAACATAACGAACGTCAAACCTTGGTCGACCGTCTACCTGCGCGTCGCCCAGGCCCACCGTGGCCCACGTGCGGCAACCTCTGCGGCCGCTCTGACTGGCGCGGGCACTGCTGCCGCCCCTCTGGGGTCGTGACCCCACCGCGCCTTGGATGCTCGTTCTGGGCACCTTCCTGGAGCCACTCGCTCCACTCGTGCGTCGAAGCTGCGTCGACCGTCAGTCGATTTGGGTCGACCCTGAGTCGAACCTGGAACCTGAGTCGAACCTGAGTCGAACTTGAGTCGAACTTGAGTCGAACTGGGGTCGAACAGATCCGTTAGGTGGGCTCCAGGAAGGTCCCCGAAACGAGCATCGAACGCGCCCGTCCGACCCAGCCGACGACTCCCCGCCGAGGCCCCCCAGCTCATCTGCAAGGCCCTCGACCACGGCGCGGACCGCGTCTGCCGCCGCCCCTGGCTCGCCTCGCGGAGCCTGCCCAGGGCCTGGGCAGGCTCGCGGGAGGGCCGCCGGGACCTTGCGTGCACCATTCGGGTCCGGCGAAAGGGGGGGATAGCAAAGGGGGGGTTTGAGAATCAGCTCACGTAGCTGATTTTCCCGGCGCCTCACGGCGCCGGAGGCGACTATGTATCGAGGAATGGGCCCCTCGGTGAGGCCGAAATCAGCTGCATGCAGCAAATTTCGTAACCGCCCCTTTCCCAATCCCCCCCTTTCGCCCGGCCCGAACCATGTCTCGGCACTCCGCGGAAGAGGAACTCTCTCCGAGGGCCCCACGGCCATCACGCTGAAGCGACACATCTGGCCGCACTGCTGCGGCATGGCGTGCCGCAACGCTCGACCCCAACGGTCGTCTTTCTGCTCACATGCTGCTCCCGTTGTCCGTCGACTTGCCTTCGCCCCGCCTTTTTTGTTGCTTCGGAATGACATCGACACGAGAACGGCCCACTACATCGGCAAAACACCGTCTACAGTAGGGGCCCGACCACAAGAAACCTTCCAGAAGAAACGCAACCCTGAGACCCCAGGACGTCCACTGATGTTTGGTGTGGGAACGTCACGCTTTCCATAGCAAAACCATCGAAATCCAAGAAACCTAGGGCACCCTGGAGGCAAGCACGGTGCTTCGTGACAGGAGTGTCCACCGCAGGTCGAGCACTGGCGTGCCGTTCTCGTGCGCCTTCCTGAAGCATGCTATAGCCATCGCTGCCTGTCCAGGCTGCGCTCCTCCGCCTCGGCATGTTGGTTGCCCACGCCCGCGCCACCCGGACGCTGCCGCCCATCGCTGCCGTGGGGCTGGTCCGGCCTGCCACAGGCAGGTGTCCCCCACATCCTGCTCCTCCTCCTGCTCCTCCTCCTCCTCCTCCTCCTCGGCCTCCTCCTCCGCCTCCGCCTCCGCCTCCGCCTCCGCCTCCGCCTCCGCCTCCGCCTCCGCCTCCGCCTCCGCCTCCGCCTCCGCCTCCGCCTCCGCCTCCGCCTCGGCCTCGCCTCCTCCTCCTCCTCCTCCTCCTCCTCCTCTCCTCCTCCTCCTCCTCCTCTCCTCCTCATCCTCATCCTCATCATCCTCATCATCATCATCATCATCATCATCATCATCATCATCATCATCATCATCATCATCATCATCATCATCATCATCATCCCCTCCCGTATCACCCTCCCTCAGATCCGCGCGTTGCAAATTTTGTCCATAACGGGTGTTTGGGCCAAGTTTCGGGCCCTGGGACCCTCACAGATCTCGTTCCGGCTCTTCAAATCGCGCAGAAAGATGGGGTCTGGGGTTCCAGCAATGGTTGTTGGCAATGTCTATATTTTTGGCAACCTCGGACCTCTTGAAGAACGCACAGCTGCAGAAACATCAGCTTTCGGAGCTCCGCGTGGATTTTTTGGATCGGCGCTGGAACCCCCTCCCTGGCCCGCGGAGCGCGCCAGGGGCGGCGCCGGAGGCGCCGCCTGGGGCGCCCAGCGCTGATCCAAGAAATATGCGCGGAGCTCCGAAGGGTAATGTTTAGGCCGTTGTGTCTTCTTCGGGTCTCCGCTCCTCTCCCTTGGCGGCGCGCACAGTGGGGTGGGGGGAAGGGGGGCGGCTTTTCAGAGGGAGGCTGCTCCTTGGAAGACGCGGGCCTTACCTGCAGATGTAAAGGCCCGTGCCTTCCAAGAGGCAGCCTCCTTCCACGAAGCCTTCCCCTCTCCCGACCCCCTCGTGCGCGCCGCGAACGCCCCCCCATCCCTGCCTCGGGGGCTGCTACGGGTGCCCCTGGCCGAAGGGCCCTACATTCTGCCGACGGGTCCTACATTCTGATCCCCTCGGGCCCCATGGGGCTCACAAGGGGTGCTCTGGCTGGGGGCACCTTGGGCCTAGGGCACGTCTGGCAACAACCGACTGCCGTCTCTTCTTTGAGCAGGGACCGACCGTCCCAGCATTCCGATTGGCCTGCCACGAAAGGTTCTCAGAACCCAGACATGTTCGAATAACAAAACAATATTGTTGTAACGTAAGCCTGGTGTGCTAAAACAAGACAGTCTCAGCCAGAAGTGTTCAAATAACCCGTCGTGCAGACCACAAAAGGTCCTTAGAACAGTCTCTTGTGGGCCTTTAGGCACGCCAAGACGCTTCGTCACTGCTTCAGCCCCCCCAAGCGGTCCGCGCGGGGGCGCTCCTGGCACAGCCGCAGGCAAACGGGCAGGGAGGCGGCGCTCTGGCGCATGCGCGCGTCGACGACGAGGAGCCGCCAGCCGCCCGGGGGCTTCTCGGCGAGGGGTGGGGGGGGCGGGCGCCCACACGGCCGCTACCCGCGCGGCTCGCGCTCCTGTTCCTCCTCTCCGCCCTCCTCTCCCTCCTCCTCCTCCTCCTCCTCCTCTTCCTCCTCCCTCCTCCTCCTCCTCCTCCCTCCTCTCCTTTCCTCCTCCCTCCTCCTCCCTCCTCCATCATCCTTCTCCTCTCCTCCTCTCCTCCTCCTCCTCCCTCCTCCTCCTCCCCTCCTCCTCTCCTCCTCCTCCTCTTCCTCCTCCTCCTCTTCCTCCTCCTCCTCCTCCTCCTCCTCCTCCTCCTCCTCCTCCCTCCTCTTCCCTCCTCCTCCCTCCTCCTCCCCGCTTTGCCGATCATGGATCATGCCCCTCGGGCGGGGGGTACAGTGAAAACGTCGATTGAGGGCGGGTGGTAAGGGCGCAAGGCCCACAAGGGTACCCTATAGAAGGCGCATCTTTCTCTGCGCGTTGACTGTAATGGGGGGTGGCTTAAATGGGGGGTGGCCTAAAAGGGCCCCTAAAGATCCTGAAGGGGCCCTCCAAGGCGTCTGTAGGGCCCCTGTTTGCTCGAACAGGACCCCATTTGGACCCCCTCCCATGCCCCATTAAGGTTCCTCTAGGCCCTTTTGGGCTCTTCCTTCCTTTGCCGATCATGGATCATGCCCCTCGGGCGGGTGGTCATGGAGGGTGGCCTAACTAGGGGATCGACGGCAGAATTGATCTACCCCAAAATCATTATTGCGTCGAGTGTGCGAGAACTGCGTGGAATGTTCAGTAGATCAACGGAGCATGCTACGTGTTGGTCGTAGATTCGACAGAATACATGCTTCTGGGTAAATCAATTATGTAGTCGATCCCCTATTCGATAAGAGAACAGGGCCCTCGAAGGGCCCCTTTATGCTGTAGGGCCCCTTGGGGGTCCCTGCTCCCTACTACCACCCGCCCGAGACCCTCCTGCGCCTGCGGCTCCGACTCTGACTCTGCTTCCGCCGCGGCCACATCTTCCTCCGCCTCCTCCTATTCCTCCACCCCTGTTGACCCGAACATATAGTATACCCATCTTGTAGTATCCCGAGCGGTGTGGCCAGAAAGCGCCCGCCACGACGCATATACTATAAGATTTCTCGGTGCGCGCGTCGCCCCTGGGGGGGTGACGCACATATAGTATAAGTATATATGTTGGGGTGACGCCGAAACATAACGGATATGAGGAAGAGTAGACGAGGCATCAACAGCGGGAAACGGCGAGCAACACACACACAACATCGGAATCCGCACACACCCTCTTCTGCGACTCAGCGAAAGGCGTGAATCTCTTGGATCCGCCCGCCCGCGGGATTGAGGGGCGTGCGGTGTTTGGCCGCGAGAGCTCCGTGAAATGCTTGAGGGTCCCTCCCCCACTTCCCCTCCCCATTTCCCCTCCCACCCCGCCCTCCATTCCGTCGCCCGCTGCGCCACCTGCCCTTCTCGGGCCCCAACACGGCTGCCAGACGGAATCCACGATGACATCGGATTTCAGATTTATCGTTCCCACATACCCGGAACTTCATAGCACAACAAGCCGCTTAAAATCTCACGGGTTCAATTCCGCCGTGTGTCGTCGGGACGCCTCATACCTCTGACTTTCGGGCTCGACTGAGGCAGTCTTCTGCTTGCTAAAGTCGGACCTAGGCCAGAAGACCCTCCTTCAAAACATGGGACCCTCCGTCGGCCAACACAGACTGAACACCCAAAGGCACCCTCCCAAGGATGCACAGCAACAACCAACAAACACGAAGAACACCAGGGTACCCTGCCTGAACCGGCCTCGATCTTGTAGAAACTCGGGCCTGCCCCCCATACAGCAGATTCTGGACGAAACATCAAACATAGTCGAAACATAGTCAGAACAAACGCTCAACAATAGTAAAAAAAAGATCGTCCCCGAATTAGTTTGTTACTGTTAGTTTTGAACTTCCCTCCTGTAGAGGGACAGGCCCGACTTCATCTTGTTCCTCGGCCCGACTGCATCGGCCCAATGTTCGGATGCTTCCGCCCGCGACGTGGGCTTTGGACGCCCGAAATGGGTACGGAAAGAATGGGTACAATGCCCAACAAGAAATGTTGTTCCAAACCAACAGCGGCCGCTGTTGGGCGGGCGGCCTCCTGTCTCGAATGGACACAGGCCGCGGCGGCGCGGACAGCGAGTCCTGTTCAGAATGGACAAGAACTGCTGTTGGGCATCGCACCCATTCTTTCCGTACCCTTTTCGGGCGTCCAGATGGGCCACGCCGCGACCCCGAGGTCGGCCCGGCTTCCAACGGCACCAGGGACGCAGCGCGGGCCCCGCGAGGGGGTGCTCGCCGCCTCTGGGCCGTCCAGCTCGCCTTGGGCCCTCGCGGGCCCCTCGCGGCCCTGTTTTGTCGGCGGCGAGCAAGGGGGGGGAAGGGAGAAGGATAAGGCCTTTTTTCGAAGACCTTCTCCTCTGGGCCTCGCCTCTGGGCCGCCCAGCTTGCCGGGGCCCTCGCGGGCCCATCGCGGCCCTGTTTGTCGGCGGCGAGCAAGGGGGGGGAAGGGAGAAGGAGAAGGCCTTTTCCGAAGGCCTGGAGGCCCCCGATCTTCCGAGAAGTCGCCTCGGCCTTCCCCGAAGGCGCACCAGACAGCACTTCTCAGGGGGCGCGGGGGCTTCTGAGAAGTCCCGCCGCCTTCTGAGGTCGCCTCCTCTTCTCGTTTCCCCCCCTCGCTCGCCGCCGACTTGGGGGCCTTTCTCGGGGCCCGATTCGGCACTTGTTGGTGCCTTTTGGGCCGTTTTCGGGCCGTCTCGGGTTCATGTGGCGCAGTGTTCTGGCCGTTTGTGTTCTCCTGCTGTGGATCGGGAGATCCAGGGAGCACGGGTCTGGGCAAGAGGACGAATGGAGGGCGACCTCTGGTCGAACCAGTGGGGCGAACGCGTGACACATGCTACGCGTGTACGAACGCGTGGACCAAGTTACACAGCTGGGGGCGGTGCATGTTCACAGCGAGGCTCTTGCTGGACATTCCATTGATGGAAAAAGCAGAAAATACGCCATAAACATAAACTCTTGGCGCCCCGCGCGGATTTCTTGTATCTGCGCTGGAGCCCCCTCCCTGGCGCGCGGAGCGCGCCAGGGGCGGCGCCAGGGGCGGCGCCGGAGGCGCCGCCGGGGGGGGGCCAAGCGCGGATCCAAGAAATCTGCGCGGAGCGCCACAAGTTTATATGTATGCCGTTGTTTTCTGTTTCGGCGCAAGACATTTCATTGAACTCTACGGCCGTACTTTGACGCGTTCCGCAAACTTCGCTGGAGACAGACGCAAACCAACCCCTTTCTCGCAAAGGGACTCTCGCCCACATGGCAAGCCTATGCGGTGATCGCCGTTCAAAAGGCGTCGTTTCGTCGCGAGAAAAATGGCTGCCGGCACTTGCGAGGAAGGAGCTTCGAGACGGGAAAGCGAAGGCATTGCAACATCGCTGGCACATCTTAGGTTTACTCTCGTCCTCTATCCTTCTGGTTGATCCAAAACGGGGTCCAGCCGAAAGGGGGCGGCGCAATATATTTGGGGCAATTGTATTGCAAATGCATTGAGCCAGCGAATTGTATAGCATTGAGTTGCAACTGATGTGTTGCACGCGAAAATCCAGCAATACATTGAAGCACCCGAAAGTATTGCACGACCCAGACCTATTGTAAACCCAAAAATCGATTTCACACAATCTATAGCAAAACCCCATTTTCGCTGAACCCTCTCTTGGGTCAACCTTCCTCGAGCCTCTCGCTCCACTCGTGCGTCGAAGCCGCGTCGACCGTCCGTCGATTCGAGTCGACCTTGAGTCGAACCTGAGTCGAACCTGAGTCACATTTGAGTCGAGCTTGAATCGAACTGGGATCGACCTGGAGTCGAACCGATCCGTTAGGTGGGTCACAAGAAGGTCCCCCAAACGAGCATCTATGTCCTCCATCCTGCCCCTGCGTTGGATCACATATCGTCAACGCGCTTCGGCCCCCGGCGGAATCCTCGTAACAATGGTGCAGCACTTCGTCCGCCGCGACGACGCACACTGGGGCCTTCGAGGAGGGGAGGGGGCAGGCGCATAAGGAAGAAGATTAGGAGTGGGGGATGCTTCGGACAATTAAAAAGACTTGGAGGATTAGGAAGGAGGACTCGGATGCGGCGCTGGCTGGGAGCGGCCGCGCAATCAGTGCGCGGGAGGGCCGCCACCGCAGAATGGGGCAGGCGCAGGCGCCTTCCCACGCCTGGCAAGGAGGCTGTCCCCCCACCCCCGGGATCGCGGGGGCCAGCCGCAGACGATATGGAAGAGGTGGCATCGAGCGGAGGAAAAGTGAGCGCCACGGGGAACACACAGAGTGGGTGCCCCTCCCTCGTGGAGCCAGCTCTGGCCACCCGTCGAAAAAGCTGAGCAGCCCAAGCCAAGATACCTGCGGATCCGAGACCTGGAGGGGCCGAGGTCCTGGGATCCTCCACCCATAAGGGCGGCCCTCGTCGGAGGGGTGCCGACCCTCCAGAAAAAAACTCATATTCCTAGTGGCACGCTCGGAGCAACGATCCTTCCCATTACAATCGGCGAGGAGGTGCCCAGAAGTACCTGTGGTGTAAAATCCAAAAAAGTAACGCACAAGACGCAGCGTCCCGCGGAGACCCCCACGCGATGGCCTCTGGAGGCCTCCGCAGGCACGATCCCCGAGGACAGAAGGGCCATACTCGGCACCGTAAAAGCGGCCGTCCCAGGCCTTGGATTTCGGGCCACCTCCTCCGTCTTCCTACGGCTGGCGGGAACGAAAGGAAGGCCAGAACACTCGGGGGCGGAAAATGTCGCAACAGTAGCCTGAAAGTCGGTAGCCCCCGCCATTCTAGTTTGGACTGTAGGCTCGAAGAACATGCGTCTTCGCCTCGACCGAACCCACGGCGAGTCACCCGAGTCGGACGCGTCAGGACCCAGGAAATCACCCCCTCCAAGCCCCCGAGGGCTCGGGGGGTCCACGCGGGGGCGAACCGAGCGAGGCGATCTGACGAGAGGGGAGACAGCACGACGGCGCGCACCGTCACCAAGCCCAGGGGTGGGATCAGGCTCCCCCCCAACAACCCTGTCTGCCCCCGCCCACTCCCTGAGACCGCCCGCTGCACTTTCAGCTTCGGTGCTGCCCATCGGCTGCAGCACCACAGCATCAGAGAAGGGAGGGTCCCAGTGAGCGAGGCGAGGCGCGGACGAAGCCGAGGACGATCGGCCACCACCCGACTCCACCAGCGGAGCCTGGTGGCCTCCCATGGGGGCCACGGGGGCAAGCAGGCGGGCAGAGCAAGTGAGGAGAGAGAGACGACCTCGAGCCCTTCTTACACAGATTGCATCGCCATACGGATCGACCCTGGACTCTGGTGAAAACGTGCCGCAACTCTGGGGAGTCCTGCGCCTGCTCGGGGTCAGCCTCCCGACCTACCCGAGGTCGCCTGGTCTCGGTCCTGGGCCGAGTGACGATCCCGGACCCATCGGAAAACAACAAAGAGGCCTCTACAACCCACCGCACGGTGGCGTGGAAGCTCTTGAGCTCAGTCCTCATGGCGGTTCGCAGTGGCTTTGAAATCGCATGCACATCCCGCCCATTGCGGGCACCGAGATCAGCCTAACGATTGCCAGTCGCATCGAGGGAGCGACCGCGTTGGTGGGCCGAAACCAGCTGTACCGAGATACCCGCGGCCAGACCTCCATGGTCTTTGATCTTGGACCAAGTCTGCTCCCAGAGGTCAGGTAGACTGCGCCAGAGAAGATGGTGTGCACGATGTTGCGCCCAAATAGACTTACCAAAACCATTTTTGGTCCATTGACTTTCAAGTCCCGAGGGGATGCGGTACAAACGGGAATGGTAGGATCGCGTTGTATTGCAACGTTATCGCAAACGAGTTCCGCCTGTTGCATTGCGCACCACATTCGCGTCCACACAATCCATCATCAACGCCCCTTCTCGGTGATACCCACCCATTGCACGTAGCGTGAGTGGACACTACGGCTGGAGATTGGCAACCTAATGGCGTGCGTTCTTGAACCGAAATTGTGATGGCGGTCGGACACCTCAGAATGGGCCATTGCGTCTGCGTACAGAATCGACAACGGATGCGTCGGGAATTTGGACACGTGCATTGAAACGTGTTGTGAAACGGTCGTCGCAAAACCAACGCGGTGACCATCATACTGCGTTATTAGTGCAACGATCGTACATCGCATCGCCATGTTCCAGGCTATCCAGAACACCTTGGAATACGCATCCAAGACATACGCTTCCAGGGCATTCGCCAAGACAACTCCAGGGCATCCAGGACATACGCTTCCAGCGCATCCGCGAGGACCCCATCCAGGGCACTCTCTAGAACAACGCATCCAGGACATGGATGGCCCTAAGGTCGAAATAACGCAGTGCGAGATCACACTAGTAGTTATGATAATCACCCCCAGGATTCCGAAGACGGCCCCAAGAGGCCCCTAAGAGGTATGCCTCTTGTCCACGACAGGCAGGATGACGGTATGGGCACAAGGCACCTCAAATGCACTTTCGTGGACCATCAGAACGGAAGCCTCCTCGTCTTCCTCCTCCCCCGCCCTCGTCCCTCTTCCTCCCTCCTTCCTCTTCCCCCCCCTCACCCCTCCCTGCCCCAACTCCTCCTCCTTCCCACCCTCCCTCATCCTCCCCCTCCTCCTCCTGCTCCTCCTCCTGCTCCTGCTAAATCCTCCTCCTCCTCCTCCTCCTCCTCCTCCTCCTCCTCCTCCTCATCATCATCATCATCATCCCTCCCTCCCTCCTCCTCCTCCTCCTGCTCCTACTTCCCCTGAAACCAATCTCTCCTCCGCCTTCCCTCCCCCCCTCCGCTCTCCTCCTCCTCCTCCCGAGCTCCTCCCTCCTCCTCCTCCTCCTCCTCCTCCTCCTCCTACTACTACTACTACTACTACTACTACTACTACTACTACTACTACTACTACTACTACCTTGCTCCTCCCTCTGCTTCTCCCTCCTCTCCCCTCCCTCCTCCGTCCTGGCTACCCCGACTGACCCCCCCAAAGCAAACGGAGATCACTTGGAACCTTCGAATGCCGCGCGTGGTCGGCGCTGGGCGCCAGTGCGAAGGCCGTGGAGACGGGCGTTGTCTGCAACGGCGCAGGGGGGAGATGGGGCGAGGGGGAGGAGGCGAGCAGGGGGGAAAAGGAAATAAATACACAGAGCGAGAGAGAGAGAGAGAGAGACAACAAACAAAAAGAGAGAAAGAGACCAAGGGAAAGAGAGGGAGAGAGAACAGACAAAGAGACCGAGGCAGAGAGAGGAGAGAGAGAGAGAGACGGGATAAGATAAGACAAGCGCCGAGAGGCGGACCAGGCTTCAGCCAAAACAATTGGGTTCCAGCAGGGTGGCGCTGAAGGTCTTTTCAGCCCGTACCCGTTGGCCACTTTCGCCACCAGCTGGATCCCGAGACGGCACAAGACGCAACGAACATGTCACGAATTCCAGTGCCAGCACCCGCATCCACAGTTCAGGACGCAACCAACGTGTCACGAATTCCGGGGGCCCTAAGGACCCCGAGACTCGCTAGCGAAATCTCCGCTGGAGCTTAATTCAACTCCTTCTAACGAATTCGCTCGTGGAGGGCGGCCATCCGAGCTTCAAAGGAGTAACTTGCATCAGGATTCGACCTCACAGAAACGCTGGTGGATTCAACCGTTGGGGCACGCGGTGTCCGTGCCACGCGGTCCAGAAAGAGGGCCGACAAAATCTGCTTGGCGAGCTCCCTATGGGGTGCCCACACCTTCTTCGAACATGTCTCAACACCTCGATCCCCTTTCGGGCGGGTGGGCGCAGGGGCTTCGGAGCCTCAGCTTACGCCTCTCTTGGGCCCATGCCCCGCACAGCACACACACAAACACTGGCCGATCAGACTGCTCAAACTGATCAGGCAACCGAGACACCAACAATAGCCCCAGACTCGGGCACTACCGCACCGAGTCCGTTACACACTCGAGGGACATGACATCTACTACCAGGCTGGTGGACAGCAACTAGCTGGTGACCCTCAGGGGAGCGGAGAAAAACTCTGAGGAAATCGGGGGTCACACGGAACCCCGTCAGGGGCTTGTCCTGGGAAGCTTTCAAGACGATCAGGCTGGCTCGGCATTGGGTCCCAAACGCTGTGGAACACCAGTCGTACCAGCCCTCCCGCCTTATATTTCGCTGTCTACAAAACACGGGGAGCCTCTGCCACCTCTCCTCCTGCTCGGAAAGTGGCAAACCAGAGGCTGCTAAGTTTACCAGCTGGGCGCAGTCCCGCTCAGAACCCTCGAGGGCCTCAAGAAGCTCGTGAGGGGGTTGGGGTGGATCTGCACCGCGCGCTTTGCATATGCATATGCTACAAAATATCTGCATTTGTCAAGCGGCGCTCGACGGGCCCTAACTGCTCGTATTCCGCGCCTGGCCTGTGCGCTTTGACCTGGCTTATACAGCGGATGTCTTGTTTTTGTCGGCAAGCTGTTCCCAAAAACTTGCACACATGCATACATTGATCTGTCAATCGCCTGCTGGGAATGCGACGTGTGGCCGGCGCGGACAGCGCCCGTACTTATAGTCAAAAAGGAGATCTGCTTGTCGACCTGCAACTGCAGAAGGCCATCCCAAGAAACTCCGCCAGCACTGAACTCTGCGGCATAGCAGCTGGCACGGCGCCGTACAGCACGAGGAGGGGCAGGCTCGACACAGGGTCCAATAGGACGACGGCCCAGCCCGCGCGCTGGAGCTCCAGCATCGCCGGTTTGCTGCGCGAGCCGTCGGCGGCCGAGGGCGTCGGGGCAGGCGAGGGGCACCATCTGCTCCGCCTATGTCCACGGGCTGGCCCTCCGCGTCAGCGACGCGCGCCTCGGTGCCAAGATCCAGCATCGGCAGGTCGGCGTCCTGGTGCTCGAAGCTGCCGGGGAGGAACGACCGCGCGCCGTCGATGCCCCGCTGCATGAAGTCCGCCGTCACCTCGGACTCGGTCCTGGCGGCCACGAAGTCCTGGCGCATGCAGGTGAAGACTATATGGTCGATGGTATCCGCCTGGCCACTGGCGCACTTCCCGTCGGTCTCGTACCCGCGGAATCGGGCCCGCTCGCGGGTCCAGCCTTTCCCGCAAGCCATGGTCTTGACTCGGAACTTCTGGTATCACGCGTATTTGGTGCTCTTGGCTCGAACGAACGGCCTCAAGACGTCGAAGGATACCCTCGCGCCAACCAGGAGCTGCCACTTCTCGGCCAGGGCGAGCTCGCGCAGCCGCGTCAGCGCGGCCGTCATGAGCACCTCGAGCACGCCAGGCGTGAGCTGCTCCAGCGGGATAGCCACCCCGAGGTGGTCTCGCCAGGTGGCGGGCGACTCCACCGCCCACCGGGCGCGGCGAACACGCAGAGCAGCTCGTTCCAGGGGGCCGTGGGGAGCGCTCCGCTGAATACTATTTAGGGCTCGCCCCGCAAGCGCCGCGACCACCAGGCGCGCAGGGTAGTCAGAGGGACTAGTGCATGACCGCGCTGTGCGACGGCAGCGCAGATCATCCTCGACCACTGCAGCGCTGGGGCGACCGCCTGCTTGGCCGCAGGGTCCCCCTCCAGCGCTGACTTGGCGGACGCCGAGGCGCCGCCGCGTGGCGGTTTTGCAACATTGCCGCAATCCCTGCGCAGGTTGGTGAACTCTGCGCCCGTCGCGCCGCTGATCTCGACCCCGCGGGCGACACTAGGCCGCGCGCCGACCTGGAACGCCCTGCCTGTGCGAGCCTCCTTTTGCACTGGGAGCGACCGCTTGTACCTGGCCAACTTCTTTTGCGTGAGTTTGAAGCGTTGGAGGCGACCTTTCTCTTTGGTGTGCGCATGCGTCGAGATCTGCCTGCAGCAATGTCGGTGCCGAGGTCGTGCGCAGTCCTCTTGGCCGCCTCGCGCGATGCGGCGAACCGCTCTGCGACCGCCTCGATTATTCCTTTCACGCTGCAAAAATGAACATAAAACTTCTGCTTAATGATCGCGCCGAGGAGTCGCGCGACCAGCTGACAGCCTCTGCCTGCAGCCACTCCTCGCTCTATCACTTCCTCTGCGGTTCGGCCTTCCACGCCGACGCTACCGCCGCCGACGCAGCTGGAAATGCCAACGTGCGAGCGCGAGGACACGCGACGATCGCGCCCCTCCACCGCGCGCGCGCCGCGATGCCGAGGTCAGCGCAGGAGCCCCCTGCGGGGGAGGGCATCGCAGGCCGCGACGCGGCCGCGCCCCATGGCGCCGAAGGAGACGGATGATCCGCGGCGCGCGCCAAATGTTATGCCACAGCTTGACCACAAGCAAAGGGACTCCACATGTCACAAGCTTTTCTCGTACTTCATCCAACTCTATCGTCTCAGAATACTTGGAACCATGCGCGACGATGTTAAGGCTCATTCAGCCATCATGAACACTGGCATCCCCCTCCGCACGCCTGTGCATCATCGCGCCCCACCCTCTGCCAGACTCTGTAGACCGCGGCGCACAGCTCGATGAGCCGATGCCCCCCCCCTGAGCCTTGGGGGACATTGGCGTGGAGAGCCAGACCAGCTGCTTCGGCAAGATGCCGACGGACTCGCGCGCCGCCCGCGGCATCCCCGCGACGCCCAGCGCCTCGTCCGAGAGGCGCGCCAGGCGGCGCGGGCGCAACCCGTCGAGGCTGCTCGGAGCGGTCTCAGGGAACGCCCTCGCCGCATCGCGGATCTGCTGCGGGGTCGCCCCAGGGATCGAACACCCATCTGGAATCCACGCTGCCGGGGCTCGGCTCGTGGCCTTCCATAGGTCAGCAGACGCATCTTCCACGTCGGCCACAATCACATGAGGGCGCAACGATGGGAGGCCATCAGGCGTCCAGCGACAGTGGATGCCCGCGCGCCCTTGCGAGCTGCGATTCGACGCGTGCCGCGCGCGCCGCCAGAGCGCGCCTGCTGACATCTGTCTCGCCAGCGCCCGTCACTATCTCTGTTCGCGGCCTGCGTGGCAGCGCGCGCGTCCGAATCGATATCCCCCAAAAATTCCCTGGCCTGGTCCGCCGAGAAGCTGCCCGCTAGCAGGGGGCGCGCCTGCTGCGCCGTCGCGCCGAGCCCAGGGTGGATGGCCATGCTCGCATGCTGGCAGGTCTGGAAGCTCACCAGCTCATATGGAATCTTCAGGTCACGCTCGGAAGGGCCTCTCTCTCTCTCTCTCTCTCTCTCTCTCTCTCTCTCTCTCTCTCTCTAAGGAAGATGATGATCGCGATGCTGTCCGCTAACCACGTCCAACCTTCACCCAGAGCTTGAAGCCCTTCTAAATCCTCCCCTTCGTACATGACGTCGACCCGACGGGGCCGCGAGACCCCAGCAACCCGTCGCGCGCGCGCGATCCTCGCGGCGGCCCTCACGGCGGACCGGCCTCGCGCAAGTGAGGAAACCCCATGCTGCATATGCATATGCATCCACCTCCTTCGACATCGCGACGGCCTGCTGCGCGCACCGCGCCTCGCAAATCCAATCTCCACATTGGCGGCGTGGGCCCGTCGCTGCCGGAGCCGCAAGTTTGGGCGCTACAACTTGTGAGAACAATTATGAATCTTCTCTCCTGCCGACGCCATCTGGAGCGCGACGGGGCGACGTGGCTTCACCGCCCAGGAGACGTCGGCATTCGCGCGCCCGAACGCACGCAACGCCGCCGCCAAGAGCCCGCAGAAATGAACGAAGCGCTCGAGGCACCCGAGGCGCCCGAGGCGCCCGAGGCGCCCGAGGCGCCCGAGGCGCCCGAGGCGCCGAGGCGCCCGAGGCGCCCGAGGCGCCCGAGGCGCCCGAGGCGCTCGAGGCGCCCGAGGCACCCGAGGCGCCCGAGGCGCCGGAGGCGCCAGAGGCGCCCGGAGGCCCCGAGGCCCCGAGGCGCCCGAGGCCCCGAGGAACTCGAGGCGCCCGAGGCGCCCGAGGCGCCCGAGGCGCCCGAAGCACGCGAGGCGCCCGAAGCCCCCGAGGCGCCCGAGGCCCCCGAGGCGCCAGAGGCGCCCGAGGCGCCCGAGGTGCCGAAGCTCCCGAGGCGCCCGAGGCGCCCGAAGCGTCCGAGGCGCTCGAAGCGCCCGAGCCGCCCGAGCCGCCCGAGACGCTCGAACG